TTTCACTTTAATCGCCAAGAAAATGGTCGCAAGTTGTCTATACTCTTGTCACCTGGCCTACGAGCTGTGCAATTGCATTAAGTAAGCACTTGGTCTTGTTTACTTGATTGGCTTTCAAATGGCTTTCAGATCTCTCAGGGAGCTTAAGACCAGACTGAATTTGCTACAATAATCCCTTGAAAAGTTGTTATGAATGTTATCTGGTCCATGTGCTTTATCTTCATAGGACATCTAGCTACATAGCATTCTACATACTGCATATATCATGTGCGATTGATACCCCCGAGTCAGAAAACTTACGAATGAACAAAGAGAAATAAATAAAGAGAGAGAGAGAGAGAGAGAGAGAGAGAGAGAGAGAGAGAGAGAGAGAGAATGCGAGAGAGAGAGAGAGAGAGAGTGCGAGAGAGAGAGAGTGCGAGAGAGAGAGAGAGAGTGCGAGAGAGAGAGAGAGAGTGCGAGAGAGAGAGAGAGAGTGAGAGAGAGAGAGAGAGAGAGAGAGAGAGAGAGAGAGAGAGAGAGAGAGAGAGAGAGAGAGAGAAACCTATTCTAGTGTTACCACCATCACGGCAACTGCGAATGTTAGACCCAGACTACGGCGTTCGTTAGAGTTGGTAGTCAATGTCTACCTTTGTACCATGCTGTAAAACAAGCATACGGCAGTGCAATACGGACAACACTTTTGCAAAATTTTACCGAACTGTAAATTTTGTTTAGCGAAATATCAAAGTTTTTTTTTAATCCGAAGTCTAGGCTCCGTCACCGCATTCGCACACCTTTGCCTTAGTGGCGGCAACTTTTGAAAATATCCATTTCAGATTTCAGAAATAGTTCTACCTCAACATCGACTTTTATGCAACGCGCATGACGAATTGAAAATTGTAACAACATGATAAAAAAAAAACAGTCTTGCCGCCATGTACATCGAATTTGCCAAATCATCGAAACAAGTTACTTACGAAGATAAAAAGAAAAAGAAAATGGAAAAAATATTTCACCAACGCTATTTCGTCATAAACACACCGACAAGCAATAAATATTTATTTCTCTCACCCTCCCCACCCCCCCCTCTCTCTCTTATATAACACCTCAACCATCAAATCAATATACAACATCCCCCCCTCCCCCCAAGACACCTCTTCCGCAAACCATTTTATAAAATCATTCCGCCTTAAAAAAAAAAGAAAAAAAAGAAAAAGAAAAAGAAAAAAAGATTCTCGTATTTCACATCACGCGCCAAAATCCTATAAAAATGTCGAATAAAAATGTCCGCGCATTTCACCTCGCGCCCCAGACTACCTTTGGAAGACCGCGAAGATCTTCCCTCGAATGCCGTCGGGTCTTTGAAGTGAAGGAGAGAGGAAAGAAAAATAAGGCACGAGAGAAAGGGAGGGAGGGAGAGGGAGAGAGGGAGAGAGGGAGAGAGGGAGAGAAAGAGAAAGAGAGAGAGAGAGAGAGAGAGAGAGAGAGAGAGAGAAAGAGCGAGAGAGAGAGAGTGGGAGAGAAAGAGAGAGAGAGAGAGAGTGACAGAGAGAGGGAGAGAGAGAGAGAGAGAGAGAGAGAGAGAGAGAGAGAGAGAGAGAGAGAGAGAGAGAGAGAGAGAGAGAGAGAGGGCGAGGGAGAGAGAGAGAGAAGAAAAGAGAAAGAGAAAGAGACAGGCAGGAAAGGAATGGTTAATATATATGCTACACATCAAAGGTCATACAGCACCATGGTAAAGTATAATAGTGGAAGGCGTTTAAAAGAGTTCTTTATTAGAGCGAAATGTCTTACATTCCAACGCTCATGAAGTGAAAGAAAACGGGAGTCAGGTGGCAAGGAGTCACAAAAAACGGGAACGGGACCGATGGCACAGGAGAAGGAAATATACAACCGGAACGAAGTCACGCCCGTGAGAGAATGGAGCAAGGAGAGAGAGAGAGAGAGAGAGAGAGAGAGAGAGAGAGAGAGAGAGAGAGAGAGAGAGAGAGAGAGAGAGAGAGAGAGAGAGAGAGAGAGAGAGAGGGAGAGAGAGAGAAAGAGAAAGAGAAAGAGAAAGAGAGAGAAAGAGAAAGAGAGAGAGAGAGAGAGAGGGAGAAGGAGGGAGGGAGGAAGAGAGAGAAACGTAAAACAACCAAAGAAAAAACAAACTGACGTAACTCAAACAATAAACAATAAAACAAACGTGACCCAAACAAAAAAGAAAAATGACTTAAATCACTTAAAAATAAGATCAAATAAGGAAACGCGACCGAAAACAAAAATAGCAAAAAACAAAAGCACAAAGGAGGAACTAAAAGCAATATAAAAAAATAAAGTAAAAATAGAAGCAGAAACAAAGGCGCGAAAAAGACTGCAAGCAAAATAAAACATGAAAAAAAAAATAGGAAGACAAACAAAAGCACAATAAAGAGACTGGAAACAAAATAAAAGGGAAAGAGAGTCGAAAGCACATAAAATGATAAAAATAAAACATAATAGATAGAAAAAAAAAGAAACAGAATCGAAAACAAATAAAGAGGCTGAAAGCAGATTAAAAACACAAATAAAAAAAAGACAAACAATCGAAAGCACAAAAAATAAAAGCGAAATAAAACATGATAAATAAATAGAGAAAAAAATAGAAACAGAATCTTCTTTAGCTCCCTCTTTCTCCTCCTCTTCCTTGCTTCCCTCTTCCTTATCTCTCTCTTAAACCTCCTCTTCCTCATTTCCCTCTTCCTCTTCCTTCACCTCCACATACTTTTCTATTTTTCTTTCTTTTCACCTCCATTCCCTCGTTTTTTCTTTTTCTTTTCTCATCTTCCTGCTTCCATGCCATTTTTTTCTTCTCCTTCTCTTCCTTTTCCTATTCATCATTATCATATTTCTATTCGTTTCCTGCCTCTCTTTCTCCTATCCCTCTGTCACCACCACTTCTTTTTCTTTTTCTTCTTCCTCTCCTTCGTTTCGTCGTCTTCTTCTTCTTCTTCCTCCTCCTCTTCCTGTTCTCCTCCTCCTCCTCCTCCTCCTCTTCTCCTTCTTCTTCCTCCTCCTCCGCCTCCTCTTCTTCTTCTTCCTCCTCTACTAATCCTCCTTTATCTTATTTTTCTTTTTCCTCCTCCTCTTTCTTTTTCGAGCAACTTCGCATGATCATTTTTGGAAAATTCTCTCCCCAAATTGTTGAAAAAAAAGGTACTACGCGCGTTTTTTTTTTTTTTTTCTAAATGACTTGCACTTCGCGGATACTTTGCATGATCCAACGCGAAGTGGGAGAGGCAAATGCGAAACAAAAGCTGCTTACACTTAATCTACCAATTTTATCCAGCAATTTTAATCCGCCATCTTTTTAATTCGCCGATTTTAGTCCGTTTTCTATTAATTCCTCGCTTAGTCCGTTTTCTATTAATCTCCCGATTTTAGTCCGGTCTATTTATTCATCACGTTTTTTTTAATTAATCAACCCATTTTAATCCAGTTATCTATATTTCCTATGCTAGCAAAATTCTCATAGATCTCCCTCTTTTAACCCAGCATCTATAATCCATGCCATTTAATCCAACCCCCTTTAAAGCCGCTTAGAAAAAAAAGCAAGCTAAAACCCAAACCATAAATCCAGTTCAAGCAAGACCTTCATTTGTTTTTTTTTTGTTTTTCTTTTATTCCTCCCCCCCCACCCCCAAGCGTTCGTACACGTAACCGACAACTTGCGCAATAGAAACAGTACTCTTTTTTTTTCTTTTCTTTTTTTTATTCCGGTCATTAACCACACAAATTAAAGTAAAATTACCGAAGAAGACAGGATTTCCAGACTAATAACAACTTTGTTCTAGTGCGGAGAGACATCACAGCACTTTTTTTTTTTTTTTTTTTTTTTGTCTACGTAATCTAGTAGTATTTGCGTCCGTTACTCGTGAGGGCGGATGCGTGCGTGCGTGCGTGCGTTCAAGTACTTCCAATTTCATCTGGTTTTCTGTACTTTTTAAAGTGTTTTGCAACCTCCTTATGCAATTGAAATTTGTATGGAGGGATGATATTGCATGTTGTTAAGAAAGAGCAGCGAAAAAAAATATATTATCTCCTTTCTTTTCCGTTTACAGGTACATATAGTGTACCACAAAAAAAAATCATGTTTTAAGTCACATAACTTTAGGTGATGTCATTAAGCCCTCTAAGTCCTTCTGGATGAATTGAAGTCATCCAGAATTAAGTGACGTCATGAGGTCATCCAGAATTAAGTGACGTCATGAGGTCATCCAGAATTAAGTGACGTCATGAGGTCATCCAGAATTAAGTGACGTCATGAGGTCATCCAGAATTAAGTGACGTCATGAGGTCATCCAGAATTAAGTGACGTCATGAGGTCATCCAGAATTAAGTGACGTCATGAGGTCATCCAGAATTAAGTGACGTCATGAGGTCACCTAGAATTAAGTGACGTCATGAGATCATCCATAATTAAATGACGTCATGAAGTCATCCAGCGCCAAATCAAATTCTACTTTTTTCCAGAATGAAGTGAAGTGCAATCATCCACGCCACATGAAATTTTAAAGTTATCCACAATCAAATGTCATGAAGCCATCCAACATGACAAAATCAATCGGCGTTTCGAATCGACATCCAACATAAGAGTGAAGTTATCTTTGCGCATGACGTCATAGAGTCATCCATTTCTGAGGTGCTCAGTGACACACCCAGACACACACTACGGACATCATCCAGCCATCACCCAGTCACGTGGTACTTACCGGCGCCACACGATGCCAAGTCATCCAGACACAAAATGCTCAGTGACATCACATACCCATCCAGTACTTACAAACATCCACCCAAACTCACTCGGTGCTTCGTGACATCGTCCAGCCAGTAATTCAATTCACTGACGTCACACCCAATTCGATGCTTAGTACCACCATCCAGCCCCCCGCCCCCCCCCCCCCCAAAAAAAAAAAAAAAAACTTAGTGACGTCACCGACCCCCCATCCCCAACTTAGTGACGTCACCGAGTCATACGGTACCGAGTGACGTCACACAGCGCGTCATGAAGAGCGAGCGGAGGCGATTGCTTCAGCCGGCCACGAAGAGAGCGAGGGAGTGGTTGAAAGAGTACGTGTGGTGTCAGCGCTTTTGTTGTCAGGGGCGGCGGTGGTGTCAGCGCTGCTGTTGTCATGGGCGGCGGTGGTGTCAGCGCTGCTGTTGTCAGGGGCGGCGGTGTTGTCAGCGCTGCTGATGTCATGGGCGGCGGTGGTGTCAGCGCTGTTGTTGTCAGGGGCGGCGGTGGTGTCAGCGCTGCTGTTGTCATGGGCGGCGGTGGTGTCAGCGCTGCTGTTGTCAGAGGCGGCGGTGGTGTCAGCGCTGCTGTTGTCATGGGCGGCGGTGGTGTCAGCGCTGTTGTTGTCATGGGCGGCGGTGTTGTCAGCGCTGCTGTTGTCACGGGCGGCGGTGGTGTCAGCATTGTCTAGAGTGCCTGTTGTGGTGTCAGGGACGGTGCTGTGCCAAGGATGTTGTCAGAAATGATGTTAAAAACCTTCATTTTCAAGAAGGCTGTTGCCACAAAATAATAGATAATACTGCCATAAGGGGCGTTCTTAAAAAACAGTGTTGCCATAAGTTGCGTCCTCAAAACGTGTTGTTATAAATGGCGTTCTCAAAAACAGTGTTGCCATAGGTTGTGTCTTTTAGAAATGCAGTTGCCAAGACTACCGCGGCCTCTCCTGGCAAAGCATGACAATGCAAGACGGAAGCCAAGGCAGCGCAGGCAAAATGGGTGTGTGTGTGTGTAAAGTACTTACTAATACAAAACATTGAAAGGAAGAAAAAATATATCCATACATCAATCATACCCAGATTAAAAACAAAGACAGACACAGAAACACACGCACATGCACACACACACACACACACACACACACACACACACACACACACACACACACACACACTCTCTCTCTCTCTCTCTCTCTCTCACCCTCAAACTCACTCTCACTCTCACGCTCACACTTACTCTTACACTCACACTCACACTTTTTTGCGTGCGCGCAAAAAAAACATCTAAACTAACACACACACGCACGTGAGGCCTAAACCCCGGCCAAAGAGCGCCCACGACCCCAAGATAAAGTAGGAAGCGGCGGCTGGACTGCCAGGAGAAAGGGATGCCGCCTCTCTCTCTCTCTATCGCTCTCGCTCTCTCTTTCTCTATTGCTCTCTCTCTCTCTCTCTCTCTCTCTCTCTCTTGTTATCTCTCGAATCTCTCTATTGCTATCTCTCTCCCTCTCTCTCTCTGTGTAGCTCTAGATCTCTTTCTAGATCCCCCCTCTCTCTCTCTCTCTCTCTCTCTCTCTCTCTCTCTCTCTCTCTCTCTCAGGGTGGGGAATGGGGCATGAAAGAGGGAAGAGGGGGGGGCCAAGGCCGCGCAAGGACGCTAGGGGGAGGAGTGGGGAGGGGGGTGGGTGGTGGTGGTGGAGGGAGGAAGAGGAGGAGGGGGAGGGGGGAGTGAGGAAGAACCGAAGGCTCGGCAGAACCGCAAGTTATCGCTCACTCTCACTTTCGTTCTCCATGGGTCTCTGCCTCCGCCTCAGCCTGTTACTCCTCCTCCCCCTCCTCCTCCTCTTCCTCTTCTTCCTCCTCCTCCTCTCCGTCTTCTTCTTCTTGTTCTTCTTGTTCTTCTTCTTCTCCTTCTTCTTCCTCCTACTCCTCCCCCTCCTCCTACTCGGTTTTCTATTCACTCTTCGTATTTTCTGCCTTCTTTCTTCTCCGCCTTTTCTTCTTCTTTTGCATTTTCCTCCTTCTCTTCCGGTTCTACTTATTCCTCCACATCCTTTTCTTTCTTCGTCCTCCTCCAAAACCACCTTCCTCTTTTTTTCTTATCTTTTTTTGCCTTTTTCTTCTCCTCCTCCTTTCCCGCTCTCCCTCTCTCTCCCCTCTTCCTTCTCTTCTTCACCTCTTTACCCGCCTCCTCCTGCTCCTACAAATCGTCCTCTTTATTTCTTCCTCTTCCGTACCACCACCTCCACGCCGTCATTCTCTTTCTCCTCCCTCTTCCTCTTCCTCTTTCTCCTCCTCCTCCTCCTCTTCCCCTTTCTCTTTCTCCTCTTCCTATTCCGTCTCGCCCTTCCTCCTCCTCCTCCTCCTCCTCCTCCTCTTCCCCTTTCTCTTTCTCCTCTTCCTATTCCGTCTCGCCCTTCCTCCTCCTCCTCCTCCTCCTCTCCCTCTTTCTACTTCTTCTTCCTCTTCCTCTTTCTTTCTCCTCCTCCTCCTTTCCTTCCTCCATCTCCTTTTCTTGTTCCACATCCTGGTCTTTCTAGTCCCCCTCCACCTGTTCTTGCCACAAATCCTCCTCTTTTTTTCTCCTTCCTCCTCCTCCTCCATCGTCTTTTCCTCCTCTTCCATCCCTCTTTTCTTCTGCTCCCTCTTCCTATTTTCTTCTCCTCCTTTTTGCTCTTCCTCCTTCTCCTCCTCCCACTTTTCTTCTTCTATTTCTTCTTCTTCTTCTCCTAATTCTCCTTCTCCTCCACCTCCTCCTCCTCCTCCACCACCTCCTTCCTCCGCCTCCCCCCTACCCCTGCCCCTCCTCCTCCTCCACCCCCCCCTGCAAATATCTCGAGGGAGAAGTCATACATCAAGTGTCACCTTCCCCTCGGGCTCAGCTACCTCTCCCCCCCCCCACCCCCCACCCCACCCTACCTCCCCCCTAATACCTGATATTCCGGGATTTGCGTTGCGTTGTCCTCCACTTTCGCTGTATGAACCCGCAGGCCTAGGAGGGGGGGAGGGGGGAGAGGGGGAGGGGGGATAGGCAGGGTATAAGTGGGGTTAGGTGGGGGGTGGGGGTGAGGGTGGGGAAGTGGGGGGGTGAAGGTGGAGGGGGGGGGTAAGGGTGATGGTGGGGGTGGAGGTGAAAATAGTGGGGGTGATGGTGGGGGTGGAGGTGAAAATAGTGGGGGTGATGGTGGGGGTGGAGGTGAAAATAGTGGGGGTGATGGTGGGGGTGGAGATAATGGTGGGGGAGAGGGGGGTGGAGGTAAAAATAGTGGGGGTGAGGGTGGGGGTGGGACCTATTGGGGGGGAGGGGGAGGCATTCTTCATCAGTATCCGTATCTCTGCGATATCTGCAGTACATCCATACCTACATCCATCCATATTAGAGCCACAGTCCATTCGTGTACATACGTATCCGCGTACATAGATGGCGATGTGTGTGTGCATGGGTGTCTCCCTGCCCGTTTCTGTCAATGTCTTTCTCTTTTCTTTCTCTTTCTTTCTCTGTCTCTCTCTTTTTATCATTCCTTACACACACACACACACACACACACACACAAACAAACAAAAACAAAAACACACAAACACAAACAAACAAAAACAAAAACACACAAACACAAACAAACAAAACAACAACAAAACTCGGATCCGCCCGACCGCCCCGCCTTCAGCAGCGGCCGCAGAGCCCATGAATCAGCAGCAGCAGCCTCAGCAGGAGCGGCGGCGGGAGTTCCCTTTCCTCGCTGGCTCCTGGAGGTCTAAACGAAATCTTGATCAGCTGTGCTCTCTCCACCCGGGGCTCAGGCGACAGTTGCTGGGTACGTCCTGCCTCTCTCTCTTCTCTCCCCCCCTCCCCCCTACCTCCCCTCTTCTTCCTTCCCCTCCCTTCCCTTCCTTTCTCTCTCTTTCTCTTTCTCTTTCTCTCTCTCTCTCTCTCTCTCTCTCTCTCTCTCTCTCTCTCTCTCTCAATCTCTCGCTCTCTCTCTCTCTCTGTTCTCCTCCCTTCTATTCCATTCCATCCCCTTTCCTTTCTCTCTACCCCCCCCCTGCCTCCCCTCTTCATCCCTCCCTTCCCTTCCCTCTTTCCCCCCTCCCCTCCCTCCCCCCTCTATCCCCCTCCCTTCCCCACTCGCCTTCTCTTTTGGTCAATGGGATTTTCTGTCTCCCTTTCTCTCTACCTTTTTAGCTTTCAACTAGAGTCTCTCCTCTCTCTCTTGTACTCTCCTCTTCCCTGTTATCTTCTCTCCCTATTCTGTCTTCCTTTATTCCTCCTCCCCAATTTTTACGGCCCCCTTAGTTCTAACCTCTTCCCCTTTCTCCTTCTTCTCTTCCTCCCTTCATCTCCTAACTTCTCTTCTTCCCACTCCTTTTCTTCCTTCTACCACTCGTTTCTCTTTCTTCTATTCTTCTCTCTCATCCTGTTCTCTTTTCTCCTCCTCCTCCTCCTCTTCCTTCAACCCCTCGTTTCTTCTATTCTTCTGTTTCCCTCTCTTAATTTTCTCTCTCCTTCACCTTTTCCTTCTCATTCTCATCCTCCTTCTTCTTCTTCTTCTTTTTCTTCTCCTTCCTCTTCTTCTCCTCCTCCTTCTTCTCCTTCTCCTTCTTCCTCCTCCTTCTTCTTCTTCCTCCTTCTCCTTCTTCTTCCTCCTCCTCCTCCTCTCCCGTTCCCCTTTGCCCACAATAACGTAGTACCTGAAACCGTATCCGCTTTCGCGTACCCTATACCCACCACTCTCACCGTGCCATCCCTTTTTGCCCACCCCGCCCGCCCCCGCCCACCCCATCGCTGCCCACTGCCACCCCCCTCCCCCCCACCCTCCCATCCCTTCCCTCAACATCCAGTGCCGCCTCCAACTATGCCATTCCCCTTAAAAAGCACCTTATGCCCATTATTATCTTGCCGCCTCACATCTGCATACCCACCCCCATGCCCATTAGCAACCAACCCATCAACCTCATATGCCCATACCCACCCCAATACCCATTATTAACCCATTTATCAGCCTCGAACGCCCATAGCTACCCCAACAACCATTACCAGCCTACCCATTACCCATTACCAACCCACCCATCAACCCCATACGCCCATACCCACCCCAATACCCATTCCCAACCCACCTATCATCCCCATACGCCCATACCCACCCCAATACCCATTATTAACCCATTTATCAACCTCGAACGCCCATACCTACCTCAACAACCATTACCAGCCCACCCATTACCCATTAGCAATCCACCCATCAACCCCATACACCCATACCCACCCCAATACCCA